GTAACCGAGAGTCACGGTCTCACTGGAGAGGTAGGGAGCGCGACGCTAAACAGCAGCGCTGGGATCACTGGGACCACTGGCAGGGCAGAGGGGACCACCCTCGGCAGGGATCCAGACCATCGGGGCAGTGCTGGCTGGATCCCATTGGCCACTGGCTACACCACCGGACGAGGCTGTCCCCCCTCCCCATGTCTTCAGCTGTTGCTGACATGCATAACCACGCTTCCACTCTCCCCGTTCAAATTGCTCCCGCTGTTCCTCCACCATGCCTTACCTCACTTTGCCTTTACTTTCAATCCTCGAACTTCTCTTACCTAGAAACTGCAGTTTTATCTCAGCTTCAGCTTATTCCTGCGTCTTTACCTCCTCCTAATGGGCTCCCGTTAACTCTCCAATGGCTTGACCTCCCTACTCACGACTGCGAAGCCACAACCTCTGCCTCTAGCACCAGAGAAGGCTGCCGAGCAGGACCCTAAAAACGCCCCTCCTTCGCCAATTGACACGCGAATAACCCGATCCTTCGAAAAGCAAAAACACCAGAGAAAGATCACAAAGCGAGGGGTGTGCTGTATAGCCGCCGAAGCTAGTTCATCATGTGTCTCTACGTACGTCTGCCACTCCGTCTGATGTTCCGCGCCCTGTTTCGAGGCTCCCGCCCAGACCCTGCCTTCAATCGCACCCTTTCCCCAGTGGCTTGGGACTTTGCCAACCTACACTTCTTCAATGCACGAAGTGCAAATTCCAACTGACGCCTCTTGCAGCTCCGACGCCGAAAGGCTCCTGGTGACGAAAGGGCGCCCAAGAAGCGCACCTTCACGATGCCCCTCTTCAACAACACCAACAAGGCCTCAGAAGGCGCCCTTAGGAAGATGGTCGGCTTCACAACTTTGCTTGCACCTACAGACAAGGGCTCCCACTTCCGAATGACGCCGCAAACACCCCGAATCAACATTACCAATGTCGACGGTGCTACCGAGCCCTCATTCTCCTCCGTCGACCCCAAAGACCTCCACACCACTTCCTCGGACCCTCCCGCGTTCGACGGCAGTCTTGCCATCCAGAACCGCCTCAAGAAGGTCTTCGACGACATCCGATCCCGCCGCTCCTCGATATCACGCTCGCCCTTCGTCACTCGCGAGCAATTCGTCGCATTCCTCGATTCTGTGCAGGGCGAAACCGATGCCGACGATGTCCTGCCCGAAGATAAGGAGAGATACACATGGCCCGAGTTCTTCGAGTTTTGGTGGAAGAAGTACGGCCTGGAAGCTACCCGACCGTTGAATCCGGACGACAAAGACATCAGCCGACCGCTATCGAACTATTTCATCAGCAGCAGTCACAATACTTACCTGGTCGGAAACCAATTAGCTTCCACGAGCGACCCAGAGGCTTACAAAACAGTATGTACTGCTTGGCATTGATGCAAAAGTTGACCATGCTCACATTTGATTCAAGGTCCTCCGCAAAGGTTGCCGATGTATCGAGATTGATGTGTGGAATGGAGACACTCCGATCACGACGGGTCAGGAGCGAAGCCGGTCGCCCAAGCCTGAGCATTCCCGAAACCTTTCTGGCTCATCGTTCCCCAATGTTGCAGCTAGCCTGAAGGAGCATGTCGAAGAGCTGATCGGCAGCGAGCGAAGCATACACGAGCATAGTCACAGGAGGAATGCCAGTGCAGCCAGCGCAGCCACTGCCAGCAGGTCCTTGGGACCATCCGACAGCACCACTGTTCTTGGCCCGAGTGCCTCGGTCGAATCTCTGAATGAAACTCTGCGACCTACATCACCCACGCCAAGCAAATATCGCCCACCGTACCCGAAAGATGAACCCATCGTCACCCATGGTTGGACCTTGACAACTCCTTGTGGGTTCCGGGAAGTCTGCCAGGCCGTCCGCGAGTCCGCATTTGAGACCAATGAACTACCACTTATTATTAGTCTCGAGGTTCACGCGGATATTGAGCAACAGAATGTCATGGTCAAGATCATGAAGGAAGAGTGGGGTGAGATGCTAGTCGACAAGTCGTGCGAAGGCATCGACCCACGCTTCCGTCTTCCAAAACTTGAGGAGATGAAGAGGAAGATCATGATCAAGGTCAAGAAGGCACCTCACAAGATCGAGGTGCCTCCCAGCACTACGGCTTTATCAATGGTCCACGCCAATGATGAGGATGCCTCAAGCTCTGAAGACGAACGGACCATCGCACCGGCGGCGGCCCCGGTCCAACATAACCCCAAGTCCGACATCGCCACGGCACTGAGCAACTTGGCGATCTACACGCATAGTGAGCACTTTAAGAGTTTTGAGACGCCTGCCGCTAAGAAGCCTGGACACATCTTCTCGATAAGTGAGAGCAAGATTCTCGAGCTTCACACGACCAAAGCCCGCGAGATGTTCGCTCACAACAAAAACTTCTTCATGCGAGCTTTCCCCAACGGCACCCGCGTTGACAGCTCAAATCCCGACCCCAGCCCATTCTGGCGGAAGGGTGTGCAGATGGTCGCCCTCAACTGGCAGTACCTGGACGAAGGCATGATGCTGAATGAGGGCATGTTCGCAGACGAGCTGGGCTGGGTTCTCAAGCCCGTCGGATACCGCAGCACTGACAAGAGCACTGAGACCGAGGTCGATGCCGCGCCGCAGGGTGACCTAGATCTCGTCGTCACAATCATCGCGGGTCAGCATATCTGGGTGCCTAGCTCATCGGACAGCGACAGTAGCCGCAACGGCAAGAACCTACGCCCTTTTGTCAAGTGCGAACTCCACGTCGAGATTGGGGCAGTCAATGGAAAAGCAGCCGATGAAGACGACTTCAAACTCAAGACCAGTTCGAAGAAGACGGACCACCCTGAGTGGGAAGGTGGAGCGCGACTGAAGTTCCCGAAGGTCTCGAGAGTCGTGCAGGAGCTCAGTTTCGTCAGGTAAGATTCTCTTTCTTTAGTCACTTTCACTTTCCCTTCACCGCCACGTCGTTGTCACACCCACTCTTCACGATACACGACCCGAGGAGAGTCTCTGTCGCGCGGCTCCGCGCCTATCCTTCCGCACCTGCAGTGTGTCCGACCGTCAGGTGGTGTGCTCTTGCGGATGGTGTACCCTCTGAGAGACGATGAACACAGACCTGATGGTCTGATCCATCCTCGGACGAGATGCAGTGGCCCGTCGCGCTCGCGTCATAAGCACACGCAAAGGTGGAAGATGCCGTGCGACCGCAGTTGCCGAGCCTCTTTTCCTGCGTCGTGTCACCGCGACCGTCAAGCTCCCGTCGCGAGCCGCCAGCCGCCAATACTCGCTCGCCAAGGAAGCGTCAAGCAGCTGTGGCGGCCCGTGTTGACAGGTCGGGCCGCTGCACACCGCACCGTTGACGGCATGACACATGTTCATGACATCTGACATCCGACGGGATCCGTCTTTCCGTTCTTTCGTATTCGAGTTGTGAACAAAGTTTCCTGGCTGACCTCGGTTCCCAATCACAGATTCAAGATCGAGAACGATCCACTCCTCGGCGGCGACGAATTGCTGTCATGGGCGTGTATCCGACTCGACCGTCTTCAACCTGGGTACCGTTTCATCAAGCTCATGGATACCAAGGGCCGCCCGATTGAAGGCGGCAAGCTCCTGGTCAGGATCGACAAGGACGTGCGATGAGCAAATCAACAAGAGCTCCCTTCTTCATGATTTGCAATAAGACCCGTCCTCGGCTCATGTTTTTGTCAGCAATCATGAGTGCAGTGTCTCAGAAGTTGGCAGGTCTGAGATCCGATCAGATGAGCCCATCTTGCAGCAGAGCAACTTCCTTTTCAGGAGACGAAAAGGTCATGGGGGAACGTTTCTTTTGTCTCATCTCGCCTCTTCTTTTCCTTGGTCTACCTTTTATTTTTATTTTTTTATTCGATACCTGGGGCACAGAGAAAAAAGTTCTCGGGGGCATGGGCGTTTGTGGGGGCGTTTTTGTTTCTGGTCGATACCTGTTTACCGCAACCCCTAGACCTTTTCTTTTGGTGTCTGACACCGTCCTTGTTCAGCGCATTTCCTCATGGGGGCCAGGAACTCGTTTCTTCTTTTTGTTTTTTTCCCATTCCTTTTGTGAGACTTACCTTGTACATGGGGCTCTCGGGGATTATTTCTTAGTCCACATCTTTTTCCTTTACTCTGGATATGGCATGACGCTTAGCGAGCGAGATTGACAGGCAGATGGCCTCATTATACCTTTTTTTTTATTTTTTTTATCCCTTCCCCTTTAATCATGTTTTGGATGGACCAGGGGTATTGGCGGGACGAGACACAGAGACGCTTCAGATGGAATCATGGAAAACATCGTTTGGGGGCCGGTGGCTTGCTGGAGAAGGAACTGGAGATGGGGTCCGGGAAGAGACAGAAACATCATGGCTGCAAAGGAACAACAGGACACATCAACGAGGAGGCGGAGGGCGTTTGAAACAGAAATTGCCGACCCGTACGTAGAAGAACAAACAAACCATCCAAAGGGAGCAATTGCTTTCCCTCTTGACACAGGTGCAAACATCATCTCGTCTTCGTCTGTCGTGACTGTCTGCTTTGCTTTTTGTCACGTAGTCCCACATTCAATACGAGGGCAGAGAAAGTAAGAAACGGTCACAACGTCTGTCTACGATTAGCTTCACCCGAGATCGGGTCTGAGTCTCGTGAACTCGTGAAACGTGACCGATGTTGGGGTTCGGGTCGGGCAGATATGTGTGGATGTCACCGCCACGTCGTCCATCGGTGTCTTCGTCGAGTGCCAGCCGGCAAGGGTTGGAATTTTCGGGCTTTTTTCCCCAACAGTCCTCGATTTTGGGATGATGTGTGTGGGTGTGTGATGTGACTGACTCACCTCGATACTGCGATAGGACGACAATACAAGAGTTAGGGAAGCGGATACTGGCGGGTTTCGGATGAGCGGATCGCGCCGCGGTGTCAACTGACATGTTGCGACCGCCGACGTTTTGTTGACGTCGTCATCGTCTTGTCGTCCTCTCTCAACCAACCCGTATCTCTGCTCGCAGCTCTGCCTCCCTATCTCTTTGGGCGACGGCCTCTGTCGTTGTTGATCTGTCATCATGGACAGTACCATGCAGAATGATTGAGTCACCCGGCCCACGTCGCACCTTGGGCAGACATGCTTCTTGCTTGTGTGACGTCGGAAACCGCAACCCGGACTGCCGGTCAAGGGTCCTCAACAGACGGGACGGGATCGCTGCCATACCAACTTCTTATCCGAGGCAATGCTTGTGCATACTCTCAACTTCCAGCCTGACGGATGCCGCTCAGGCGCCGTGGGGCCAATACCACTCGGGGCTCTCATGTGCCTCGTCGGCTTGGATCCTGGATCGCCGAACCATACCCGCTTTCGAAATTCCCTGATCCCCGTGCCAGCGTGCACTGTTTTCCGTAGCCGTCGTTCGGAAAGGCATCATTCTAGATTGTTTCTGGCAGCCTTGGTTTGGTTCCTTATCCAACCCCGTTTGTCTGCGACAGCAGGGCGATCTTGGAGTCCACAGGATCACCACACGATACTGCTGCAGCCCTGTCCGGTTGTCACAGCTTGGCAACCGAGCCTGCATGATTTACACGGCGTGCTTTTCGCTACACACCTAACCCGGTGGCACGAGCTGGTGGTAGACAGGTTCTGCACCTAAGCAAGGATGTCTCTTCCGCGGGCGAACGATGCTGGAAGGGAGAGTGTCGATCACTCAGAATCGAGCCCCATATCCGGCGCGCGTGGGTGTGTAGCGGAAGATAGACAACGCCCCATGGCCGTTGGCTGCGAGACTAGCATCAGAGAAAAAGGAACGCGGGCGAGGCTTGCCAATGAGACGGCCTGTCGGGTCCTGCCTGTGAGACAAACCAGAAGAAGCAATAGGCTCGGATGTAATGATAATGCCGTGTTGAAGTCTAACTTGCGCGGCCCGACTGGGAGGACTTGGTCAGTTATCACGAAAACTTGATCTCCCAACAGGGCGGCTAGTCCGATCGTGGAGGAGGCTCCAGTCGTGAGTGTTTGTCAAATCATGTTGTAAATCGTTGAGCAAGCCCCAACCATGCCCTTCCGGACACAACTGTTCTGAGAGCATTTCGACATTGTGTAATCAAACGAAGCCCATAAAAGCGAGGCTTCTTTTAGGAATAGACCAGAATCATCGGGGTGCCTATATCAAACACCACCCAAAGGTCGACGAAATAAAGTTGACAGGTAACATGCTGCGGGATTGAGACAGGTGCAAAGGGTGGTTACTTCGCGACGCGGAAGCTAGGGCGGTGTAACAAGCCATTCCAATCCTTCGTGTGGTGGCTTTCCTGCAGCCAGCAGCCACAGGGAATGGGGTTCCTGGCTTGGTTGTGTTTCCAAGGCCGAGGGCAAACGACAAGGACCCTGAGTGAGACATGCGTTTGTTTTTGCACTCTCCAAGGCTCGTTTGGCGGGGTCGTCATCGAGATTTGAATTCCCGATGGAAACAATCCTGGCCGAGATCGTCCACGTTGAAGGCGGTCAAAAATGTAGCAACCCGCCGTCGTTTCTCAGTCGTGCCATGTGGTACCGGGTGACCAAAATTTCGATAGAGCGTTCCGGCAGTCTGGTTGACTAGCCGGGATGCTTGTCACTGGCGAGGAGGTAACCGAGATTTTGGTGCCAACCATGGAGATGATCAGGAGAATGAGAGAAGGATCGATCGTGGATCTTGCGGCGCTCCCAAAGTTCCAAGCCCCCAACTTAGACAGAACCGAGCCCCAGGCCCAGGGAGTGCGCACACCAATGGGTCCCGCTGACGAGCATACGGGGCTGGAGTTTGCTCGGGGAATATTATCGTGGAGCTTTGGTCGAGGGCGTGTGCTGGTGACGCGTTCAAGCTGGCAAACGCCAGGGAGGCGCTGATTGAAGCGGACTGGCTTCTTGTCGCTGGCATTGCCGTTTGGAGACTAACCAAGTCCACATGTTCTCGAAGCACCACGTCTTAGCGGATACCTGCATACAAGTGAATGCAAGTATCCTCACCGCAAAGAAACGGTTGTTGTGGCCAGGGAACTCTGACAAGGCCAACTGCTGCGAACGGTATGCTTGATTCCGCTCTGGATACGCATCTTCTTGTGTTGTTACTCGGCTTGACAGGTGACAAGCACGTAACCGAGAAAAGCTCACTGGGTTTGGCGGAAGGGTCCTGGTGGCGGTTGACTCACATCCGATGGAATTCACGCTCTCTATTCGGGAGCTCGGCGTTTGAGGTGAGGCAAAATACCTTGGGCATCGAGAATGTGCCGCTGAGGTGGTTTCTCGGTGAGGCTCCTAGCCCAGGGTTCCTTGAGGACAATTTCCAAAACAGAGCTGAACTCAACCATTTGGCTACTTTGGCGGATATGGTGGTACCTTGCTTGAGCAAAGTGGTCTCGCAGCCTTGGAAATCTGGTGGATATGACATGTCATTTTCCAATACCCAACCAACGAAATTGGCAGTGGCAGCCGATGCGGATGGTGAAAAGCCCAGATTTCGACAAAAACACACTGATCGACCTCGCATCTCGGTTATGAAGTGACAGGTCATATCGGTCAGATTGCATGTGAAGCATGCACGCGCCATGCGGACATATGTTTGACCACATTCGGTGGTCAATGGACTGGCTTCACACCCTCATCTGATCTGGCGATGCAGACCGCGTGTCGCAAATCGTCGGGTGCCTCGATGAGCGCAGAATGGTGTTGGTTCTGTCCCGCAGTTGGTGGTGTTGTGTGGTGCGGTGTAGTGTGTAAGCCCCGCGTGTGTGTCCGTTGGTGTTTGGTCAAAAATGACAGCGATGGAATGCTGTCGAGGGTGATTGACACATCATTTTGCCTAGCTAGGCACATGAAACCAAGCAGGGTGAAACCTGAGATTATCCAATGGCGATCTGGGCCCAACATGAAGCAAAACCAAATGCCATCATGGGCGCCGTAAGGCGTGGAAGTCTTGGAATCTAGACCCAGCCGCAAGATTGTCGGTGAGTGTTGTCAAAGCCTCAAATTGTGGCGCCGTCTGCTGCTGTGGCAGGGGTCGTGGACGGATATACAAGGCTCCCTTTGAGAACGCACAAAGCCGCGACTTCATCGACCGTCAACCAACGAGGTGTATAAGCATCTGCATTGGTGGCCTTTGCACAACCTGGACCAGCGGCATGTTTCGCGCCATCACGTCTGTTGGCCAGCTGAATATGGCATTGGAGCCGGGGCTCCCGGAAAACCGTAAGATCTCGAGACGTCGGTCAGCGTTGTCGGTGTGTAATTGGCATTAAATGCGTTGGAAGAAAAAGCACATTGACAGCGTCGCACCGTGATCCGACATTGGCACAGGTGTCAACCGCGTGGACCTCGACGAACCAGGAAGGTCGCGATACACACAGCCACCGATGTCTGGTTTCCCCCAATCTGGTCCCCCCGTCGACAAAGATAGATTGCGCCTGCGCAACGTCGATCCCGGGTTGTGGCAGCGGATACGGCACGGCGTCAAGTCGAACGCGGGCGGAAACCCCGTGTGACCATCCTTGGACCAACACGCCGGGATGATGGACAAGGCTCGTCGCCCGTCTGCACCACTCGGTGAGCGGTGACAAACCGCAGGCAGGGATGCGGCTGGGATTCAGAGCGTAGACTGTTTCGATTGTCGACGTCTCGCGGTGCTACCGCACCGAAGAGAAGTCCATGTGCGGGTAAGTGGCCTCATGTCTCCCTCAGCCGGGTCATCTCGGCGACGGGCAGAATATCCAACCATAAGTCCTCCCTTCAGACCTCGAATTGACGTCAATGGCATTATTCCGAACATTGACGACGTGCTCTCGTTGCCGATTCCGAGGGTGGACAAGAAAGATGTGGGCAGCCCATCAGCAGGTTGCGTTCCCCCCAACCCGAGGACCTCGCTGCTGCTCCTGCTGCTGCTCCCCCAATTGCCCCTTCGCATCGATGAGTGGACGAGATTGTTGCAGAATGGTACGCTAAGGAGCCATTGCTGAGGGTGAAGAAAAAGAAAGCATGGGGCAGGGAATCGCCGTGGAGCAGGGGAGTGGTGAAAAAGAAGAAAACATGTGAGGAGCTTGGTGGAGCCTTTTTGGGGTTGACCAAACGCGAACTTGGACCTTGTGGAAAAAGGAAGAATGGCGGATTGTCATTTGGAAACTGAAGGGCAGCGTTGGGAGGTGGATGTTTGCGGCGCATACTCAGACCGCCGTGGAGTAACCCATTCCCAGCCGAGTGGGACGTACGGATCGTGGATCCTTTCGTATCGAGTTGTGAATGGGAGCATCTTTGTGAGTCGATGACCGTGTCTTAGGTTGTTCGTGGACGGCAGACCTGGAGATGAGCGATCCAAACTGCAGCTGGTGACTGGGGCCTTCAAGATGCGATACAGGCGCAAGGACCCATGAGAAAAGAAGTGTAAGGTATCCATATCCGTACCTTCCTCCTCCTGACCCGATTGAAGATGGGGGGAACTTTCCATAGAAGAAGAAGCATGGAGTGTAGGTAGGTAGATACTCCGAAGGTACCTACCTCATGCTCCCCTCTTCGCGTGCCTTCCTTTTGGTGGTTGTTCATTCTCTCTCTCTCTCTCGCCCCCAGTCTGCTAGGCGGCATCGGGTAAGATGCTTCCTTCTCGGGGTATCGTCATCCCCTCGTAAGTGACCTGAGTTGCGTCAGGACTGCTCTAGCTCAGCCCAAATGCCTGGCAGCCGGTTTCCCCGTCCGTTCAACAGTTCCAAGTCACCTGGATCGGAAAGGCTGGCTGAAGTGTCAGCTTCAGCTTGAACCCCCCAAGGGCTTGCTCACATTCAGTTTCGAGGCGGGCTAAGTGAGATACCTACCGGCCGACGACGACAATGGGGTCGTCGAACTCCCAAAGGGGGCGCAGGGGATCTGACGAGGTCACGCCGTTTTTCGGAGAAGTGACAAAAAGGAAGGGCATCGATCAACGCGACACAATTGGATGCGGAAATGCAAATGCAGTTGGGGAGTGGATAAGGGATCGGGGAATGTTACGTAGAGCAGGGGGGCATGAAGAACAACAGCATGGTCGTGAGCATCCAAGTGTATCCGTAGTGTGTTCGTACCAAGTAAGGTACTTGGCGGCATGGCAGCCATGACACCAAGCGACCAGGTATCCGCACGCACAATCGGATTCGTAGAGGGCCTTCAGCGATTGCACGATTGAGGTGCAGCGCAAGCCAGGTATCCGTACCTAAGGTAAGGTAAGGCGAGATGAGATCTCCATCCCGGCGCAAGGGCGGGTCGCAGATGCGGGTGAGGTGAGGTGAGGTGAGGTGCATTCCAAGACACCACTAATGGACGACGAACGAAGACCGCGGCGGCCCTAGGAAGTGCCGTGGTGATCCGTAAGGCAAGGTAGCTTCGGACTGACAGCCCCGAGAGTGTGTGTGATATGACGAGCAACGAGCCCGGCCGGCGGGAGGATCAGGAGGGAGAATGAGTGAATGAAGTGATGGGTGTGAAGTGTGTGTAGTGTGTAGTGTGCACGCGGCGCTTCCAAGCCACCAATCGGGCTGCGGCCGGGCCACAATCACGAATCACGGTTGGAAAAACATAAAAAAGGGCAGGAGCAACTGGGGAACGCCAGCCGCGATTTCCCCCCCTTCCATTTCCTCTCCTCCCTCCGGGCCCCCGGAAGCCGCCACTCAGCCCCTCCCCCCAGTGCCGCGGTCCAATAGGGTATCCCGAACTTCGACGACGGGGCCGGGCGCTCCTTTTTTGATTTTCCCAAACGAAACTCTGTCCGGCATGTTTGCGACTGCTCATAAAAACCAAAAAGAACTACTACTACTCACAGAGGCAGCAAAGACAGCAAAAAAAAAAAAAAAAAAAAAAAAAAAAAAAAGGGGAGGTAAAATAAGAGGGCTCTCTTTCATTCTGTGTCTATCCCGTCCCACGTTTGATTTGAGAAGCTAGCTACTTCATACGTAGTAGCAGGCCCAAACAGAGTTTGATACTGCCTCCCGGCATCAGCGCAGCACGGAAACTCGCCTCGCCCATCCGGACAGAACTGAGAGCTGCCAAACAGGCATATCCCTCGCAAGCCCACTGCAGACCTTGCCTTACTCGATCGTCATATGTCGTCTCTTATTGGATCGTCCTTTTATATCAACCTTACGGTTCTCACTGCGTGGTGCCCCAATCAACACACAAGGTGCCCCAATTACAGACGATATCAGTCTGTACCAGTAGAGCCGCGCACCCCTCCATTACGTGCAGTCCGATCTAGCAACGTGCCAAACCAGAGACTCCACAAACTTTGTTCGACCCTCGTTGGTAACCTGCGCTGCGACCTCACGAACCGGAAACTGACGCAGTGTTTTTCTTAAACTGACTAGAACACATACATGGTACCATGAAAAGACATACTGCTGTTCACGCGCCCATGCAGACAGCAACACTAAAGACTGATCTACATACCTTACGTTACGAATGATTCGTGAGTACGCATTCGCATGTGGCGTTAGCCTCGTATTTTTGTGTGCGTGTGTAATTCTGCCTCTGCACCCCCCTCACATGCTGGGTACTTGCAAATACCGTGCAAGTGTTGCACTTTCCCATCGATGTTTCGTCATAACTGCCGATGCCGTGACCTCTCCATGTGAAGAAACCAAAAAAGAAGAAAATTTGGGACCCAAGGGAAGAGGCGGCATCGCGAGAGACATCACCAATCCCGGGAGAAGGGCGCTGTTGAGCCTCCTCCTCACCACCATCGTCATCATCATCATCAGGTTCCAACTTCTGCGGGGCTTTCAAAGTCACAGCTCGTTCTCTGCAGGGTTCGCTGGACATCGGGTGTATGCAGAACCAGCACCGGATGTATCCCGTAACATTGCACAATGCATTGCGGCATGGTACGGTTGCCAATGATACATGGTATGGATCTCTGATTCATTCTTCTTCTACGTCTCCTTCTCTCCATCGATACGTGCGTACCAGAGATATGGATGGGGCCCTTGGAGAGTTACAAAAAAAAAAAAAAAAAAAAAAAAACCCTTCCGCGTGCCCATTGAAATGGAAAACCACCAGTGACCACACAACCCGCCTGCCGCAAAGTCGCAGCTAAAAAGGAAATCCCCGGGCGAATCCTGGGGCAGATCGAACAGAGCTCTGGAACATCCACTCGCCTGGGTTATTCTTCTGCTCGCTTCCCCCCTCGACCCCTGCCCTGCGCTAGCCTTCCGATCGACTGCGCGCCGGGGCCCAATGAGCGTGGCGGGGGGGACATGCGGTTGCGTTGGGGAGGGGTGCGCGTGGTGGGAGGAGATGTACCCAGATGGATGAATGGGTGGTGTGGGCGTGCTGTGGTTTGGGTGGATGAGCAGTCAGTATGGCGCGTAGTATTTTGTCGCCGTAAGGTAGGTACAGATAGATTGGAGCATCATAGCGCAAAAAAAGGCAGAAAAGAACCCCTCCTCCAATTCACAACGTTGCTTTGCTCTGTTTCCTCTCCCGCTGGGCCCCTCTCGTGTTCGTCTGCTGCCCTCTCTTTTGTTTTCCTCAATCCCGCTATTTCTCCCAAACGGAGGGGGCCCCGGGGCACCGAAAAACAACGACAGGCACCAACAAAGGAAACACTGAACCCGGAAGCCCGCCGCCGCGCAGTTGCAACGTGCCTCAACCACAGCCGGACCTCGTCAAAAATGCCGTGTCCCGTCTTCCAGACTCGGGCGGCTTTTGGCTTTTGGCTTGGTTCGGTCTTGTCTCACCTCGACAGGAAAAACAAAAATAAAAAAAAATACAAAGTGCCATCTCACACATTCACGCATGTCCCGGGTCCTTCTTCCTCAATGTAAGTACAATGCAAAAAAACAGGATGAACGCCTGGGTCCCGCCACAAGCCACAGAGACACAGAGAGAGCGAGAGAAACACAGCCAGACAGGCGGAGAGACATACGGACCCAAGACAAGAGAGACAGACAAGGACTCTGGCAGAAAGACAGCTGCATGTATGTAATGCAAATGTACACACAAGCAACTTTGCGTCCTGCAGTCTGCGTCTTGTGTACCACTACTGCTGCTGCTACTCTCTCGCACGCAGCAGCAGTACAGCACACATCAACGCTCGTTCCCGAATGAACGACAATTCTTCAGCCATCGCCATGGATGGGGCCCTGGTTCCACCCCACCTTGTCCCCCCCTCGAACAGAGTGATCCAGGATCCCATCCCAATCCCCCATCGTCCAACATCCTTGCCCATGCCTATCCTGGGCCCCAACCTGGGTTCGCGCCACCATCGTTCATCGCTGGGACCTGCTGCTGGTCTGCTGTTGCTGCTGGCTGCCCATTGACACACGCCTCCAAGGTCTCTGCTAGTCCCGCACCAGGAAAATGTGATGTGTGCCAGATGCAATGTACCGGGCCTATGCTAGGCTAGGTATGTTTCTTTTCGTGCTTGCTTGCTTGCTGCCTCTGCTGGGCTGTTCGTTCGCCGCTCCTCTCCCGCTGCTGCTGGCCTTCCGCGCGCCGGTTGCTCGCCGATTTACCTATTATCAGATGGCACCGCTCATATTTTCTTCTTTGCACTAGCAGACGCAGAGCAGGGACATGGAACACCCGCTCCCGCCTTGCGCCTTGAAGCCGCCTTCTCTCACCTCTCGCTCGCTCATACCACAAGCCTACCTGGTCCTTGCCAGTTTCGTCGGCCCAGAAAGGCCCAGTGCTTTGTCCTTTTTCTCGTGCGAGTCCAAAGAAACGGCAAACTATAAGTATCGACTGGCGCCGCCTTGGGTTTGGACATTATTCAGATCACCACCATCGGCCATCAACAGCTTGAGGACATTGCTTGAAGCACTTCACACACCTCACTCACCCACTCACTCACCCGATATCTCCAAAACCGACACACACGCACCAGAGCTCCCCGGGTTTTATCAACACCAACTCGACAACGGCCTTTGCATATTCACATACATTTACACGCCTGCACACGCGCAACCAACCCCGCAAACCATACAACATGACTTGCTCATCGCAATGCCAGGTCGACAAGGCCTCTCTCAGAAACCAACAACAGCCATCGTCTCCCACAAGCGGACCTAAACAGGTGAGCGAGCCCCCCCCCCTCCCGCCCCTCCGGCGGCAACCACCACCACTACAGAGCCAGAACTAACTCTCTTTGAAGCATCTTCTCCCAGGCATTCGCTGCCCTACGTGCCATGCCTCAGGTAAAGAGGTGTGGGTACTACCCGGAAAAGAGTGCGGCTACTGCGGCACGCCCTGCGGCTAAGCCAGCTCATGTGAGTTGCTCCCACGTCATTGAGATCTGTGGCGGTGAGGCTGACCTTTAGTAAGCCCCAAATTCCCCCGATAAGGAGTCAGTAGCTGGGATTGCGACGCGATAACAGGCACTGCCAAAACTGTAACGATACCCTGGGACAACGGCGAACGGCGACACACGAGGGCAAGGGATTGGGAATGGGTGGGAAGGGGACGAGGGTCTGTTCGACTATGAGGTCCATTTTCATCTTTTTTTTTTTTTTTTTTCGTTTTTCGAGAGCACGGGTTAAAAAGGGGGGGGGGAGAGGGGAGATCAAAACCTCTGGGGTGGGCCATTCTGGGTACCGGCCCTGTAATGTTAACGAGCCATGTCTGTCCGATTTTCAGATCGGTTTGCGCAATGGGAGGGGAAGGGAGTTCCCTACCCTCTGGGCGGGCGGGACGGGAAGAAGATGGATGGAAAGAATGGCGAAAGACACGGCAACCAAAAAAGGGTCCCGGATCATGGAATTAGGAATTGTAATGATTACCATACGCAGATGCTCTGTTCAAGTTAGAGAGACGTATGAGCTCTTCTATGTTCTCAACGACGTTGCTTTTGGCTGGACAGTGACACGCCCGATGCGAGCAGGTCGGGGTCGCATTCCCCGATTTCGATTCGGACATCCTTGCTGGGAGCTGCAGACCGAGATGCAGTGGACATGGAGCCGGAACAAATCGAATGACTCCGATCAACGCTGCCGACCAGGACGGAGGAGGTTCCTTTGCTCGGAGATAAACCCGGTGCTGCTGGAACACTTGACGCCGATTTGCGTACGACGTCTGCGATGGAATGCGATGGCCTCGCTGGGGACTGCATGGTGGAGGTGCCCCCTGAGATTTACACCGGTCGCGATCAAGGTTGTATTGCAGTTGAGAAAGGGCAAAGAGACAAGGAAAAGCAACAATTACAGCTTTGCTTGCGAAGGAACCTGGCATCCAGCGGGTCCCCCAGGCCCGGATTTCGCACAAGGTTGCAAGCTGCAGATATCTGCAGGCATCGATGACAAGGTGCTGTATGGACTCGCGCGAGTTGCAGTCCCAGGCCCAAGGTCCTAAATACAGTGGCAGCGGAAACGAAACCGCAGTATCGCGGCAATAAGAATAAAAACGGCGGTAGTAAGTGGTAAACCTCGGCCTGGATGCGCTGCTGGCGTTGCAGCTTTCAGCGCAGGTCCCCTAACAACCCAATCGGTCCCGAGCCTCTGGTTCCACTGACACATACAGCTGGACCTGGTTCGTTACACCCCAACGGCCTGCGGGTGGACGTCCTGCGACCGCATCGCTCCACAGTGAGGCAGAGGCCGGTTTGGTGGATGGAGCAAATCTGAGAGAACTGGAGGCGTGCGTGCATGCTAGCCTAGGTAGCGGCAGGTGAGCTGCATTATCCAGATCCGGTCCCAGAATCCACGCCCAGGTTCGTGATCTTGGGGCATCCAGGTCGGCTCTTGGTGTTCGGGATGGCGCTGGATGCCGAAGCGTGTGGAGGGTCAGATGGGTCTTTGATGGATCTTGGGAGGCCCTGACTCCTGCTGCCGGGGGATCATAATGCTTGCCCTGGGTTGCAAAAGAGACTGGCGAGGGGCTGCGGGCTTTCTTGTCTCGCGTCGTCGTAAGACAGTGATATCGTCATTTATGACGAGGCGGAATGGTTGGTGTTGCTGTGTAATGGATATGTTGCGGGTCGGGCTAACGGACAAAAGCTCAGGGAGTACTTGCCGCGTGCGTTGCATGGCTGCGCGACAGCCGAGTCAAGCACGTTCGATTGCTGGAACTGCCTACCTGGGCAACTCGAGGTTGGATTGATTCCTCTTTGTCGATTCGGTCAATGGAGCAGGGGCTCGGGGCATCGCATCGCATCTGCAAACGACTGACTGGGTTGCGACGCAACATGGCCGGCGGGTTGGTTTGCTAGTGGCAGGGCAGGGCAAGACAGGACACAAATCAGAAATCAGAATCCCGTAAGAATGGGGGAACGGGAAAGAGGATCGAGAAGGGCCAGATACTACACCGGTGTGCAAAGATGGGTGTCTTGGCCTGTTCACCGTCGTTTCGGAGGGCAATTGTGACTGTGAGCACTGAGGAAGAATGGCTGAGAAAAGAAAGGTCAAGCAGAAAAGAGAGGGAAAATGGTGAAGAAAAAAGCAAAGTTTGATTGACGGTGCAAGGCGTAGAAGTTGATAGATGACTAGTCTTTTTTTCCACAGGCGCTACCTATGGTTGCCCTTTCCTGTTAGGTAGTTGCATCTGCACTTGGGTTGCTCTTTCCTTAGCTTCCCCGTTCGAGTTACAGAAGTTCTTGCCCATACCAGATCCAGGGAAGCGCAGGTGCACACAGCTGCTGATTGGCCCCTACCGTCATTTCCTTGTCGTACTTTCCTCATTGATTGACTCCCGCCGGCTGAGGTAGGTACCTTAGACGCTTGTCATGCGCTTTCCCGCCATCTGTGACCGCATGGACATTGGATTGACAGACATCCAGGATCGGCGATTTGAATCTCCAAGTGATCTGTCTGTCCGATCTGTCATGCCCGTCCCCCGTCAGCAGGTCTCACCTGCTTGATTGCCTGGCTTTCCTTCTCGGGCTCAGTCAACATCATCATTCTTTCCTTGCTGATGCCTCGTACGAGTACTGGAACCTGGTTTAAGGCGAATTCATGGCCCGATAGATGGAGCACGCCCGACCCTGAGTCGCTCGCAGCCTGGCCTGGACACCAACTGGACACCAGCTATTACACCATCAGATTCAGACTCACCTCAGATTCAGGAGCTCCAAACTGGGCTCGTGACAAATACCCCATCAAGAGCTATTTATTACCGTATATCTCGATTTTTGGAAGTGCAGTCCCAAACGGAGGGAGTCCTTTAATAAACCTTATTAAACTTCCGTACGGCGAATGTGTTCCGTCCGTAATTCTGGTACCTGGCGTATTGCAGCCTCTTCGGACACTTTCAGGTCCCCGGCGGCTCCAGGCCAATCGATCGACGGTAATTCCAGCTTCCTAGCTTCCGGCTACCGGGACCATCCCGCCACCGGCGGTCAAACATGAAGAAAAGTCGAGACGAATCACTACTTGGCCCTGGTGGTGCGCCAAGGCTTGTCAGTGTATGAGAGCAGGTGGCTTTCTTGTATCAATGCAATAATCGAATGGCGTCGCATCACTTTCGCTCTTGTTTGCCCGCCTGGCCGCGTACTCGAAAGCCCCTGCCCCTGTTTGGTGTTTACTGAGCAAGCAAATGTCCCAGCATTCAGCAGCTTACCTCACCAACCTAGGTAGGTAGCTAAAAAAAAAAAAAAAAAAAAAAAAAAGGGATTTTTTGGGTGTCACCTCATGTTTCTGATAGGCGCCCTGGGCCACACCATGTTCGTTCTTGCAAACTCCTTCCTTGCTTCTATTTTAGTTTCCTCAACCCTCAAGGTCCTTGGAGCCCACACTCACTCAAGCTGCGATAGATGAAAATGAGTCACCAGGAAAGCCATGACATGATGTGTGTCTCCTATCTTTGCTTTCGAGTTGTTGCTTCTTCTTGTCTCAGCTCATTCGTATTGATCGGTGCAGCGCGATTCAAACTCCACACGCGAGAAACACTCGAGTGGCCAGATTTAGACTCTGCGTCGCGTGCATGCCCATCGAATTTAGCAATTCAGAGTTGTTGCGTTTCTGCAACCTTTCGGAGAAAATGGCAAGGGAGCTTATCGTAACCATCTTACCCGTAACTTGCCTTATGCTTGGCGGCTTGCGGCTTTTTCTGTATCGTCATCAGTCTTAGCATGGCAGACAAGATGCCTGTTACTCGTTGCTGGCTGGTCTCGGTAGGTCCTACCTGAAAGAAGCCTTTCATTCCCGGGACGGGACTCGGGACTTGCCTACCTAGGCATCTAACCAACCAGTGGCCGGATAATTCTCAACGGCTCTTGTTCCTATTGGTGAATTGCCTTACCTAATCTCTCCATTTGGGCAATGCCCACGAAGGAACAGGTAGGTACGAATACCTCAGGTAGAACAGCCTTCGCCTTACGTTAGGCCGAAAGGTAAACCCCGCAGAATCCCCGGCTTAAGGTTTGCTGCGCTTTCCCCCTTCCCGCCTTGACTCCACGTTTCCACGTCTCCCACCCCTTCCCCTTCCCACCCACGGCGGTTTTTTTTGCCCAGCCCGCCACTTCCCGACCTGAAGCCGCTGCCGTTGCACCTGTCCCGTCACGTCAAGCCCTGCCACCAAAGCTCCCGTCTGCTGCGCTGCACCTTGATTGAGCTTCTGCCTCCCCGACCTCAATTCAATTGACATCACTCCTCCGGCCCAACCCTATCCTGTCCTTTCTCCATTCCGCCGCTTCATAGGTAACATGAACGGCATTAGCCTCTTGTGCGATGCTGCGGGCTCCGACATGCTGAACACGCTCTATTCCCCGCCCGAACCACCGAAACAACCGGCCCCTCCCAAACGCAAACTGAGTCTCTCCGACGCATCTCCCTCCGCGACACATGTTTGCCATATCTGCAAGCGCGTCTACGAGCGAGCCGACCATCTGACGCGCCATCTCCGATCACACGAGAATGCAAGACCCTACCAGTGTTCTCGCTGTCCAAAGCGATTCAATCGCGCCGACCTCCTGACCCGCCACGAGACCACCCACGACCGAGATTCCACCGGCAAGGGCAGAACCTTCATTCGGAGGAGCGATCGCGCTGCTGAAGCCTGTCTGAACTGCGCTGCCTCCAAGTCCAAGTGTGAGGTTCGTTGCCATCTCTGTTTTATGTCTTCCCGATGCCTCCCGCCGTCCACCGGCTCTGACCTCCACCGTTCCCGGCCGGCTCGTCACCTCAGCCGCCGGCCGTTGTATCCGGTGTCCATCGTCTACCGCGAGTCCTGCGCCGCCGCTGGTGTCTCCCGCCCTTCATATCTTTCGTCCGAGCTGCCGTTTTCCAACTCCGTGATTGTCCGTTCATGCGGTACTCCCATATCATACCAAGGAAAGAACACTGACATGACCACTCGCATAGGACGCAAAACCATGCTCACGTTGTCGCTCCAAAAACCTGCCTTGCGAAGTGCCATCAAAGCGCACCCATCCCCACCGGACATCTACTGACGAGGGGCACTCTACACCTTCCGAAACTTCCACGATGCACGCTGGGATGGACATGAATGGGGGGATGGACTCTGGCCCGGTGGCATATAGCAGCTCCAGGATGTCCATGATGCCCACAAATCCAGAGAGCCACGAAATGGACGGGCCGTCATTCATGAATGACGGTTTCGCAAACCCGGTGATCGACATGGTAATGGATGATATCGTCAACTTCAACCCGGTCCATAATTACTTCCAGGACATGGACTTCTCGTCTTGGGACCTTAACTTCGACACCATCATTGTCCCACAAATTGATGTCCATCCGAGCCCGGAATCAACAACAACCAATCGCTCAAAGTCAGCTACCCGTAACGCTTCGAGAGCTCACGCTGCCTTCAAGCGGTCACCCTGGTTATGGGAACCGGGGCCCAAGGATCATGCACTTCACCATGCTTCTCCTCAGGATAAGGAGCGGCTCGTCTTTGATGAAAACAACTTGGCAAACTCGCCAGCATTCGACAAGCTAATCAATACGCCGGGAACCAAGCTGAAGATGACAGCTTCCGCAAGAGACAGCCTTCTGGCCCTGGTTGTGGCCAGCACGGTGCAAAAGGGAGCCCGTCAGCGGACGCCCTCGTTTCCAACTCTGGACCTCTTGAATTATCTGGTTCAAGCCCACTTCATCCATGATGAACATCAGAGCGACAGCTGGATTCACATAGCAACCTTTGACGCGACTGCGGCGATACCAGAATTGCTCGCTGGCATACTGTCCAGTGGCGCAACATATATTTCCATACCAGCGGTATGGCAATTCGGGTACTCTCTTCATGAAGTCCTGCGTCTCGCGCTGGCAGACCTGGTGAGCAATGTGTCTAATCCTTTGCGTTTTTTTTTTATCAATCATCATCCGGCGTCCCGGATACGGTATCTGACTTAGTATTGCTTAGTTCGAGGGTTCTAATACTTTCACCCGAGATCTCGGCGCCCTTCAAGCCTTCATGTTGAACCTCGACATCGGCATTTGGAGTGGCTTCAAACGGAAGATGGAAATTGCAGAGAGCTTCTTGCAACCTCCCATGACCATGCTGAGAAGGGCTGGCAACTTCTCGGCCCCACCGGACTCACCCTCACTCATTCCAACCATGGCCGATCCCCCAGATGTCCTCGATTCCAAGTGGCGCAAGTTCGCAAAGCGCGAGTCCTACAAACGGCTTGTTCTGCATCTTTTCTTTCATGACATTGAAACATCCATCGGCTTCTGTAAGAACCCACTCATGTCTTTCACCGAACTCAGCTTTAGTCTCCCCGCATCTCGCGAACTATGGCGAGCGAGAACTGCGGAGCAATGGCGCAGCATATACATCGCCAAGACCAACACTGCCTCAGATCGCACCATCCCTAGGGTCTGTGAAGTCATGCATTGCACCGAAATTCTCGATGACCTTGAGCAGTTGGTGGACATGGAGCTTTGTTATATGGCTCTGCTCCACGGATACTGGGGTCAAATTGGAGCGTACAGAGAAGCAATCAAGTTTTACACCGACGGCATGTCGAACAAGCGGAACACGACTCACAAATTATGGCTCAAAACCCAATACCAGGAGTTATACCGGGATCTAAACGACTTCTCAACCATGATCCTTACTTCAAAAAAGCCTACAGCGCAACTAGCGGTGATGTCTGAGGTGTTGATGATGGTACTTCACGTGTCACCCGACATTCTTCAAACGTTTGCGGGAAAGGCTGGCGAGGACGAGGCTCGACGAACGTACAGTAGCCTGGAGGAAAGCTGGGTCAAAACTTCGGAGGCTCGGCATGCTATTTGGCACGCAGGCCAAATTTTCCATCACGCGCGTCAACTTCCACCCGCCTCGTTACGAGACTTCAACGCCATTGCGGTCTATTTCGCCTGTCTCACTCTCTGGGCCTACGGACTGCTCTCGTGCTCCGCGTCTAGGCACGGGTCGGATCCGGAGGTGGGAAGCGGCAATAGATCGGGAGCATATATCCTTATGGATTCGGAAGAAAACCGCGAGACGAGGGCATTCCTTCAACTCGACCGCGGTGTGCCTGGTCTGACATTGAACGGCAACCCCGCTGACGGTGTTGAATCGTTATCAAACCCGAGTGTGGTACTTTCTGTTGCACGAGGCATTTTTAGGAACAACTTTCCTGTTGTTTCAGAGCCTTTGCCCCCGCTAGTTGAGAGCTTAAGAAGCCTTCTTCAAGATTTAGGTTCGGGCGCGGCAGGCCGACCATCGAGGGCTGCCAGCGTTGACGACATTTGACGTGGAGCAACTTTGGAGGCGATCGCTGTTGACCAGGACAGTATGGTCAGAGACCGACGGCTACAAGACCAGCAGCCAGATCTAAAGCGCATCATGGAACGATCTCAAACGGCGACGTGACAAGAGACTATCAAGCAAATTTCCAACAGGCCTGTTGGTCACCAATTTCTACGATGTTGTATGATAATTCTTCATGTATTTCATTGAGCGATTTTTCTCGAATTTAGGCATTGCAAAGCGGAATCTAGGTAAATCAAGGAGAACAGAGACTTGCAGACTACTGGAAAGTACCTATGCTCAGCGGATAGTGAAGTCTCTCGATTACGTAGGAGACAACTGGTGCACAGACCACGAGGGCGCGGAAACAAGTTCACTTAAGATGGATGGAGCAAGCAGGTATATCGACTCCATGGCATGTACATGTTCTCCGTCGCAGACTTGGCTTACTCTCAAGTAGCTCAGCTAAAACGGTGAGCTGCATTTATCCTGATGCGCAGAATTGTGAAAAGTTTGACGATGAGAGATTTCCAAATGCGGCGACAAAAGTCGTTACGATATGAGACACGCCGTCCCCTTTTAAGGACAAGGTCTTCAAGTATTCGCACCTGCGCAGCTAAATCACTGACAGGGATGACAATGATCCCCACCATGATCGCGAATCTGAACTTTCGACGCGTCGCGATTCTCTACCCTGGTCACTCCACCAGCATGTGCCGTTGACTTTGATTTCGGTACCGATTTTTTGGAAACATTTTGCAGAACAGACGGCAGTGAGCGGGACAGCGTTCATCATGAATTCCGAAGGGGCTGTGAACATGGCAGAGACGGCGCCTGCTTCTGTACCTCCTACTGCTGGAGCCCCTCCAGTGGTGACAGAAAGTGCTGGAGAAGCTCCGGAGCTGCCAGCCCCTGGAGGACTGACAAGGGAAATATCAACTGAGGAGCAGCCATCTCATGAACAATCGAACCATGAACAACAGATTGCCGAAGAGGACAACAAAACACCACCTCTGCCTAGCAGCCCTCTGAGCACCGATGGCTGGGACGACCGGCGATCTTTCGAGGAAGGTCTGTTGGAGACATTCCACGCCATCGAGTCGCCGGGGACGTTTGCTTCATTCCATCCGCTCAAGACTGCCAATGGACCTCTCAACCCAGGGCTCCATGTTGCCGATGTAGGGCCCATTCATTAGCTTCCCCCTAAAGGAGGAACAGGCTCGCAGCTTGATCGAAAAGGCGCGGCAAGCCCCATTCGGCAAGGGCAGCGATACCGTCGTCGATACGGCGGTGCGGAATACGTGGGAGCTAGATCCCACGCAGTTCGAGCTCCGCAGCCCCAATTGGACCGGCGTCATCAACACGTTGTGTAAAAGGGCAGCGCAGGACATGGGTATCAATGCACCTATGATTGCAGATTTGTACAAGCTCCTGATTTACGAAAAGGGCGCCATGTTCAAGGCGCATGTCGAGTATGTCATATCCGTGGAGCCGTAGGTGTAAAGTGATGGGTGTAGAGCTAACCCCATCCAGCACCGAAAAGATCCCCGGGATGTTTGGCACCTTGGTCGTTTGCCTCCCGTCCCCTCGTGAAGGAGGCGAGGTCGTGGCCAAGCACTGCGGAGAGATTAAGACGTTAGTGACATCCAAATATAGGGAAGGGTCCGTTGCCGCATGGTACTCTGATGTCTCCCACGAGGTTCTACCCGTCACTTGGGGATATCGCGTTGTTCTCACGTATAACCTCGCCCTTGACCCTTCGAGACAGTTGCCCTCTGCCGGCCTCCGGCGAGCCGAAACGCGGAAGCTGCGTCACTCGCTGAGGAAATGGTTGAAAGGCGGCATTCCCGGCCAGTCGGACGAAAATGAGCTCTACTACCGGCTCGACCACGAGTATACCGAGGCCAACCTCTCCATATCGGCTTTGAAAGGACGAGATTACGAGGTGGTGCAAGTTCTCGACGACCTTTCCACAGAGCTCGAGTTTGACATCTTTCTCGCAGCGCTGGAGACCAAGGAAGAGGGCACCGTGGGATATGATCACGGTGGGTATCGGTATAAAGATGACGATTGGGACGATGACGATGAAGGGTGGCACGAGCTGGAAGACGTTCATGAGGCGTCTCAGCGTGTGAAGCAGCTTGTTGGAGTTCACGGGCGTCCTGTTATGCGTGACATAGAGTTCAATCAGGACCACGCCCTTGACAATGGTGATTTCTGGGATGACGCCGATCAAGAAGAAGAATACCAAGGGTTCATGGGAAACTCGGTTCGCGGTTACATTGTGAAGTCTGAGAAGTAGAAGCTAATTTGTGTTCCAGGGACCTACCGCTACCCACTGGTACCGCGTCACGGTGAGTCGATTCCTCAAACTGGCGTTCAACTTGGATATATGCTGATGAAAAAGTTAAGGCCGTGATGATCGTGCCTCGTGCAAACGTAGCGTCATTCCTCAAACGCAACCTTGAGAAAGACGATAGGAGATCGGCCTACCCCTCCTATTACCTCGAAAAGGAACGCACAGGAAATTCTCGGCTTGTTGTGTCGTATTTGACGCACACAGCTTCGAAGCCGGGGAAGGGCCAGGCGTCGGCTCTCAATGCTCTGCAAGATATTTGGACCACATCGATATGTCAAACCGGATCAAAAGTTGCGTTGACGAGCACAGAGATCAGCGATCTGCTTGAGGCTGCCGTCCACTTGCGGGAATGGGAATTCTTCGAAAAGATTGCTGCCGACCCTCATGGGCTGATCAATTCCTATATCTTCGAGTGGTTGAGCAAGCAGGTCGGTGATGGCAAGGTCTCCTTCCAAAAACATCAAAAAGGGGTATGTTGTCATCATCCTGGATATGAGGCATTCCTTTCAAGTTGAATGAGTGCTGATCTGGCAGGTTGACCTCAATGATTCTCGGCCGCGAGAAGTTCTCCTTGCGAGCGCACATGGTCGAGTCTTTTGCGCCGAACGGGTCTCCCGTCCTGACCGATGAGGTTCGCGAGTGGGCGCTGGACATCTTTTCCAAGGGATTGGCAATCTCCTCTGCTTCTGGCAGTTTTGTCGGTTCTGATGGGTTGGCTGCGATTCTGGCTGCCAGGCGGTATGCCGACTTTGCCTGGCTCAATTCAACGTAAGCTCTGCCGCCGTGCTTGTACCAGGCCGTCTCTAACAAATGCCGCAGCGTCGTCCCTATCATCGAGAACCACCTCAATATCCCCGCGTTTGCTCTTGACTTCCTGTCAGCCCTCTTCATGATCACCAAGAAGAAGATCTTCCCAGTACAAGAAGGCGTGCAGCTCTACAAGCGCCTCGCCAAAAAGTTCATCTCTCAGCTCGACTTCAACACCGTCTACGGCGACAGACCGGAGGAGAAGAATATGCCGCGCAAGCGACGCAAAGACATTTCCGGGCAGCTCGGTCCCGGGGCCGACTACAACTACGAACTCGCCGTCCATCCCGACACGCTCGCCGATCTCTTCTCCCACCTCATCAAGCTGAGCACGCCACCGCAGGAAGACCTCGTGGTGCCCCTCGCAATCAAGCTTGTAGGCCACGCGAAGCACATGAAGTGGAACGACTTCCAACCCCTCTGGCTGCCATTCCTCAGGGAGCTCATTGAGCGGCTCGAGTCCCATAAGGTTCCCCTGACGACTCCCCGCTACCGTCAAATTGCCGGCGCTATCCTTGAGGCTTACCGTGACACCTACCTCGGCGAGAAGCCCTCGACCCAAGCCCGCGATGACAACGCCAGGGTCTCCCCATGCTATTGCGGAGACTGCGACATACTGAATGAGTTTCTGCGAAACGGCAACCAGCAGCAGTGCCGGTTTTCCGTCAGCAAGCCAAAACGCCATCATCTGCATAAACAGATCGAGAACTACGGCATCAGATGCTCGCACGTCAGCGATAGGAGCGGTCCGCAGGATACGCTCGTGGTAACCAAGCTGGATCCGGCCCCGGGCGCCAAGTGGAAGGCGGCACGGGAGGACACGGCAGAGCAGTTCCAGCAGTTCGACCAGACGAAGCTGGGGATCCTGCTGGGCGAGGACTACCCGCATATCGCGGAGGCCTTGTGGGAGCGGCCCACGAATCTTGCGCCTGGCTCCGGCGGTATGTCTTATATGCCGGCACCGGTTCAGACTCATCCTCAGGCTCCTGTTCAGGCGTCATATGCCCCGGCTCAAGCTCCGCTGCAATCGACATATGCTCCTCCAGTTCAAGCACCTACATACCCGCCCGCTCAACCTCAAATGTCAACTCGGCCCCCGGGAGGTCTGGCACCGCACCCGGGACAGGGCATGTACATCCGCGAACCGGACAACCAGCCCTTCCCTACCGCGCCGCCCGCCCGGTTTGGCGTACACCCTCCCAACAACTGGGTCCGGCCACCGACGGTCCACATGCCTCACGGCGTGCCAGACCCAAGACCTGCTGGCGGAGGATACCTATCTTCGATGCCAACAGTGCGGAACCAGGTGGGCTCCGGCGGGCAGGCCCCGACGTTCGGGTCGTCAGCCAGTGCCGCGCCGCAGGTGCAACTAAACCATAGACCGCACGGCGGGCCTCTGGCGCCGATGACGGGCAACGCGGGCGGCCCCCCACCGCCGGGACAACACCTCCCCGGCATCAACAACATAGGCCTGCCACCGTCGGTCGCCGGAGCGAAACGCAAGGCGGAGCCCGAAATCATTGACCTGACATGAGGGATGAAACCGCGAAGCAGATAAGCCAAAGAACAATAAAATGAAATGAATCCGCGTATCAGACTTGTTGAGTGAATGGAGCCCGTCGGTGATTGCCCGCAACGTTGACGATTCAGAACTTTTGAGACCTCAGAAACCTGTTCAACACGACACACATCTACAGAGACTAAGAATGCAGTGCAACCATGTCTTTGATGGCATCTCCGAATTGCCTCACGAGAGGGAGAAGGGAGCCCGAAAATCTCTCATTGGAAATCCCGTATGTGTGAAGTCTATTAGACACCTCTTTTACTGACTCGTCCCTCCCTGCGCAAATGCTCCAATTTCTCGTGTATATAATTGCGATCGGCCCGTTTGATGCCCTCAAGTGTCTGCTCCCGGACCGAAGCGGTGAGTCTGCGATAGAGTCTTGTTGCAGCGAGCAATAAATCAACGGTATCGCCGCATCGACTGAGTGCAACCTGACGAGGTTGATGTTGCTGAAACTTACCCGCAGCTCTCCTAAGGTAGATCGTTCGTCTTTTTTGTGCAATGGAAGCCCAGACATGCACAAGAAGATGTGCAGTTGGTTAGGTGCACAAATTTTATGCTTAATCAATGCGGGTCGATCAAGCGAGGGCCAAGCCAAGCACTCCTCCCTCCTCCCTAAAAGCAGCGACCTCAGACTATCACTCAGCTCGTTGCTCGGCACAGGTGTTTGCCGGGGTTGTATCTTCATCTTAGTGAGATGAACGCTCGATTGCGATTGTCCCGCCTAGCAGAAGGGGACTTCGTCATCCGTCATGTCATGAATTCCCATGATCTGATCCCCCAATTCCCACCTCCGCAGGAAGCACGGCAGCCCCGTCATTTCTTAAGCGAGAATGGGAGAAGGAAGAGAACCCCCAATCGTGATTCCGTGAGAGTGATGTGCAGTCTGTAACACGCCCTGACGACAGGCCTCCCCTTACTGGCGTTCCATTTCAGCAACAGTATGGAGTACTCGATACTCTGTGGCCATTGCCCCTGCTATTTTAAGCAGAGACAAACGACAGTGGGACTCTGGGGTGGACTTCTTGCATCTTCAAAGTCAGTCGTCTCTTACACAAACCCCATCTCGTATGGGCCGACGATCCCCATTAAAAAGTGATATCATGACATGCTAATGTCAGGTTGAAGACTGACGTTTTAGCGTATGTACCGGGTCGAGTGACGGGAAGCCAGCCAGCCGCCCAGCCTCGCGGTGCCTGGCGGGGAAAAAGCCACCCAAAGCTAGCGACCGAGAGAGGTAGCTGAGTCAAGGGCGGGTTGTTGGGGAATCTCCACCGCAGTGACATTCCGACATGATCAGCGTTCGCTCGCTCGTCAGTTGTCAACGTCGTTCGTTCCGCTCGCTACCTTTAGTTGGAGGTGCTAGAGGCACGAGACGGCCGGTGCTGTGGTGCGCTTCTCCGTAACTTTTGCGGAGACCAACCACAGCCTCACGGGGCACCTCGCCACCAACCCGGATCGGGGGGAGATGCGCTCGGGGTAAGTGGGGGTAAAGTGCGTGCAGCACCGGCGTGCGGCTGCTGTTTGCTGCATGGCCAAAGAGTCCTCAGTCACGCCAACCAAGCTTCCACTAACACCGACATACGAGAGATCCGACCGAAAGAGACTCTCAACGTCCTGCGCACTTGATTTCCCGCACATACCCCAAATCAAAGTCCTCACGCCATTCGAGTTGACAGTCGGAACTGCCGGCCAGTCTCGGACCTGATCGAAAAGGGAAGAGGGGGAACTGTACCCCGCGCAAACACAGTTCTCGACATCTCGTCCCAGTGACGTAACCGCCTCCGTCTCCCGATCATCTGCAGCGCTTGCATATCGTCGTTCGCAAAAGGCCGCTTCATTCAACCAGCATGGTCGTGATCATGCCGACCCAACGCAGCAGCGAGGCCGAGGTCAAATCGTGGGGCTTTCCTCACGTCTTCACTTGGACCGATGGACCGTATGTAGTAATAGTCTCCTACATGTGGCTGGACGACGACTTTCTGTGCTTGCAGCGCCCATGAAGTGTTATCCCGATACAGAAAACCAACGGCAGACTGACATCTGAATCTGCAGGAACGCGTATTATCCCCCGCATTCGCATCGCGGTCTGACAACACATCTGATCTTGAGAGGGAACTTGACAATCACCTATCCCAAGGATGAACAGCCCGAGAAGGTTACGTTTGGCGTCGGAGACCGCATTGATGTTGACGCTGGCCGCCTGCATGAGGTTTGGATTGGAGATGAAGGATGTACCTATGTAATTGGAGAGTAGGCAATCGACGCAGTGAGATGCCTGGCATGAGGCTTTGTTTCGTCATGTGTCCATATAACCTGCAGATGCCTCGGAGAATTTGTTGATCGTCATGTCAAGCCTATCCCGGACTTTTCGGAATGTGGACGCGGATCCGGTACAACGTCTCGACAACCTGGGTCTCGTCGAAACCTCTACTTGATTGGAATCAAAAACTGCCCTAAGCAGACCGCTCTAGTCTGTGGCAAAGCAAAATCGTCTCCGTAAATCTAGACGTGAACACTGACGGCCTTGACCGCAGGCTTGACCAAGTTTGAGTTTGTCTGCTACTCAATGCGACCACCATGACTACTGCTCAAGTGATCGATGGCCGAACGCCCGGTCAGAGCGTTGGTCCCCTTTTCTGGATCTGAAGAAAAATGCACCGGATGAGCTGCCAATCCCGCCGGAGGTCAAAGTCGTGCATCGAGCATCCTTGATGACCGGGCGTGCCTTTTGTCGAGGTTTCACAACAACATCGAGCCGCAGCGCCAAGAAGCGGCATTGTCATTGGAAATATCAGCTCAAGCATACGCAAGATGCGACTTCAGTCGACGAGTCCGCGAGTGCATGGGCGGAGGGACGAAGGTCGAAAATGTGCCCTTCAGGTGAGTGTCCTTGACGATGGACAGTCCCTTGCGTTGGCTGACAATTGTGTGTCAGCAAACTTAGTGGTCGCAACAGAATAGAATTCACCCTGTCGTGGTGAGAGAAACGATTTTGAAACGAGAAGGAGTCCTTTGCCCGTGCACGTTGGCTACGTATGAAGTATGGAGGTCTCCCGACTCATCCAGGGGACCGGAGATCAAAACGTTCCGGAAGGTCATGGAACCCCAACCTCCTTGCCGACGAGGTGGCTTTCGTCCGTTCAATGCGGCGAACTGACTCAAATCTGAAGAAATGTGTGCCAATGTTGGGACGGGCTGTCTTGCGATTGAGCTTGGTAGAGAGCGGATCGGTGAAGCTTGCGCAGCCTACTGACGTGCTTTATTTTTCCCAAGGATATCCAAGTTCATAAGATACTGCGCCTTGTGCCCGGTTGCTAAACAATGATTTCCTCGGCAGCATTCTTGCTCTCCTGGATCGGGTTGCCTGGCTATGAGCTCCGCTTCGCTTCACGTTGACCGATGGCAGTTGGGAAAGTCTAGGCGCAATAAGCCTAGACGGAGCGAGCTCTGAATTTTACCACTAACATGGACCATAGCAACATCGCGCGGATATCGAAAATTATTCGTCCGTGGGCGCTTGGGGCGTCATTCAGTTTCTCTGCCATCGTCTCATGATGGGCTTTGCCAGCAGCTGCCAGCAGCATCTGGGACACCCACTTTCTTGTTGTAGCATCGTTTGGATGACCACGAATAACGTCCAACCACATCGAGTCATTTTGAAGCAACCGTCAGCCTTGACTCAAGGCCACGCGGGAGACATGAGTTCACCGGCTTTCCTCCAGGTTGGACAGTAGTCCACGGCTCGGAAAAAAGGGCGGTCACCGAGTTCTGGAGCAATTGAGTCGAGTGCTTGCGCCGAGTCGCGCACCGCAGACTGACGTGGACAGCGCGCTTGCGCAAGTTCTGCTTCAAGTTGAGAGTTTGGAGACATCCGCCAGCTTTCTTTTTCCGAGCAGCCGGATGTCGTGCGTCGGCGAGCGGCAACAGGCCGAAAAACAACGAACGGCGAGATGAATGGAGTGCAGATCAATCTGGCTCAAGGCGCAACCATCTTCATGTTGCATGATCATCCGGCCTTAAAAAATGGAGCCGCGGTGCCGTTCCATTTGCGGTGAGGTGCTCCGACGATGCTCCGAGGAGGCGTACTCTCGGTGCAGTCTGCGTGCTCGGTTCGATATGGCGGCTGTTTCGACTTGCCATGGGTCAACAGCGCACATCCGACGTCGCAGCGTCGTAAGGCGCATGTTTGGAAAAGCCTTGGTCGTGGTTGGATTAGAGACCGACTTTGTTGCTTCGTCCAGCACCATCGTCCAGCCAGTTTGTCCCGCCCGATAGACAGGGATGGGAATAAAAACATTGCCGGCGAAAAAGCGGTCGAAGTCTCAACGATGCTGCGGGCTGGCGGGGTTCGAGCTGATAACAGACATGATAAGTTTGAACCGCGGAAACACGGCCTGCCAGCACAGGTGAAGTACACAGTACTTCCCACGCTCCCCGCGAGTCCTTGAAAGTGGACAATCTTGCAAGTTGCCACGAGTTTTCGACCTCCAGCGGACCATCCACTTACATCTTCGGCCGAACGAGCACCAAGTGCACGGCGCGTCGTGGTCATTCGTGGCATCAACAGGAAAAAAGTGCCCGTACCTCGCGAGTCAAGTTGTGCAGTGCAATTAACGGTCTGGATAAGCCGCTACGGGCGATGGCCGGGAGCAGTTTGTATTAGCAAGCGAGTGCAAGCAGCGCAGCGCAGCGTCTCATTCTCGAGTGTCTGAGACCGTTGTTGGCTGGGGCTCCTGGGCAGAAAAGTCGGATCCTGAAATCCTGGCAATTGCGCACCCAGCACTTTTGGCGACTGCAACCGTGCAACGTCGCTAGGAGCTTTTCCGCGGTTTACAGCTTGTTAGTGGTTAGTGTGTTCGTACACCACAGACGACGGTTGACCCATCACCCTGGCTGTCGTTCCGCCCACTCGGAGAATAATCCACTTGCAAATTGTGCAGAATTGAGAATGCGATCTCGATGGCGGC